GACAGGTAGGCAGGTAGGTAGGTAGATAGGTAGATCGATAGGTAGACAGTCCAACCTTCCAATAGTCCACAGGCAGGTTTATATTTGTTGCGTGTAGTCGCAGCAGTCGCTGCAGTCCCTAGACCCATGCATCCATGCACGCACATGCGCACAGGTGCTCCAACAGTGACCCTCTATGTTAGAGATATGTTAGAGTGCCTCTGATCAGCGAAGAACATATCCTAAAGGCACGTCTAAAGGTCTTCTTTCCTCACACTGCATCACTACCAAGAGCCCGAAGCACCCCAGATGAAGAAGCCCTCTGACCTGGGCCGACGCCTGCGCTTAACGGTGCAGCGACTGACTGCGGAGATGGACACCGGAAGACCAAGCCTTCTCCAGGTGGGCTGGGAGGTAGGGTTCAGGAGCCAGGATTGAGGGTTCTTGAAAGCGGCGCAGCTTTTCTTTTAATGAGGCATCGCTAGAGGATCGAGCCTATCCAGAATGTAGCTGGAATAAGCCTCGCATCAAAGCAACATTGAGTAAAGATTTGACAACACGGCTTAGGCGGCTTATGCAGTTTAGGGCAGGATGTGGAGAGGCATTGTAATGGCTTTCCCTGCCGAAGTTGTGATGCGTCTAGCTGCAGAGAGTGACTGTGCTCCACAGGACGAGATGAGTGCTTCTTTCAGCGGCCCAGTAGAGGCTGTAGCCGACACCGCGGCACTGAAGGACCTCCCTCCTGAACTCAAGGGAGGGCTCAGGATTTGCATACGTGTCAGGTACCTCTCAGGTACAGTGGTACAGGTTTTAGCTGTATCGAGTCTTCGCGTTGCTACGTCAGGAGCACTGTGTACGTTCGGGGGGCCTCTTCATGCTAGGCGCACACATTCGCGTCCAGGGCTTGGGATCAGAAGCGGAATCGGGAGCATGAGCAGTCTACATGATCCGCCCTTCGATACCGGCAGGACGTGGACACGAATTCAAAGGAGCCAGAGTGCCTGGGATAGTGTTAAATTCCTGCTCCGTTTTCCAATCTGTTGGATTTCTTACAGATTCAGGGTTTATGTCCCAACGACAGCCACTAGAATTCCAGAAGCCCAAACTCCAAACAAGTCCAAGCCAGTTCAGGTCCAGCTGGGATTCGGAATCGTCCGGTGTCCCCGAAGATCTGCCGGCACGTCTCCCTGCTCCTCGCTGTGTTTAGGATTCTGTGATTGAGGCCGTGGCATTTTTGGAAAAGTCGGATGTTGCAGGGCATTCTGTTCTGTGATCTGGGTAAGCAGTGCTTAAGATGTCAGCGGCCCTTCGCGCTTCCAGAACTGATGGCTGGCTGGTTTGGCCTTGTGAATGCAAGTCAGGTGCCTACAGCCCCATGCGATCTGTGAGCCTCCAGCAGAGCCCAGACCTGTACTACAAGGTTAACTTGGGAACAAAAGCCTTCCACAAGAACACAGCGTCATGCACAGTCTTGACTTTAACCGCTATCGACTGGCATCTGGGGTTAGGGACCAGGGTAAGTTTGGTTATGTTAGGGGAGAGTGTGGGTTTAACCAGACCGGGCTGCCAGACAACGAAGCCGCCTTTTCAAAAAAGGGGTTGGCTCGTGGCATTGGAATTGGCACACTTCAAGAAGGTGTCAGTTGTGCTCCCCCCCAGCGCCGCACCTCGCGACCCGCCCTGTCTGATCCACGTCGCGGTTCGGTCCGGGGGAGGCAAACAGGCCTCTTTCAGAACACCTAACGAAACTCGTAGCGGAGCCCCTCCCAGAAGGGACTGTCTTCCAGAAGGGTTGCCGAAACGAGCCCTTACAGAAACCCTGTTCAGAACACCAAGACCTGCAAATCCTTCGTTAGATTCCTTAAATAATTCCTCCACGCACCCGAGGCAGCCGACTCGAGCTGTACAGTGCCAGACAAGCGAAGCAGCTGGGTCTGAGGGGCTCTTAGGTTAGAGAGGTTTAGATGCTTCAATTCTTCCGTTTCGGTTTCGCTTCGAGCGCGAGGGGAAGCAATTTCAAGGATTGAGGTGCTCTTTTCGGCTTGGGTTTTCAATGCCTTCCCGATTATCGTGTACCAATCAAACAGTCATGGGTCAAGGCTCCCGTGGGGTCCATGCAAAACTTAAGCCCTAATCATCCTGCGTTCACCAAGTCCCCGGAATTGAAAAGCGTGCATACTTCCCAAAATGGGAACAGCGGATGCACCGTGAAAAAGCCGGTTCAGTGTTGGCTTGCGGTCCAAATCCTGTCCAGCACGACGCAAGTCCACCCTCGTGGCGAGTCCAAGCCTGGCAGAGAAATCTGGGGTGTCTTTGTGGAGACCCTTGTAACTTGCAACCGCCAGAATGCCAGTCAGTGTAGGGTCAAGTTGTTACACAGGGCGGTTTCGAGGTTCTTGCCGAACAGCGTTTTCGATGGTTAGTTTCTCCGACACGTGGCCAAGCCGCTGTTTGGAGACAGCCGGTGACGGGCTTAGGTCAGCTGTAGCTTTTCGTAGCATGGAGAATCCCAGATTCGAGTAGGTGGAATCTCAACGTAGACATAAACTGGTGCATCGGTGGTTATGAAAGCTAGCCGCAATGCCATGCATGATGGTGCCTTGTCATTGCAATTTGCTGTTCGGTGCTAATGACTTAATCTATCTATCTATAGATACAGATGTTTCGAATTGTTCTATAGCCAGTCTATAGCCATAGCAGTAGATGCAGTCGTATACGTCACGACAGCAACACCTCGACACCGAAGCCCGGCACACGGCATTTCGCAGGAATTATCCAGGGCCCTCGTGCCCACCACCTTCAGGCATTTTCCAGAAATGTCGGCTTCGCTAGACAAGACGTTGTCGGTCAAAACTACATAGAGCAAGGTTGAGAGTTCCCAAGGCCTACTCGTCCGTGAGTGCCATCACAGAGGCTGTTTCAGTCAGGGGTTGCCATCGAATACCGGTTGTTTTGCAACCATCTCCTGGTTCTTGGCCTGGTTCCTGCTTTGGAGCAGATTCCTCGTTTGTCGCACCATGAGTACACCATGTCAATGATGGTCTTTAATTTGGCCATCTCGGAGGTGCATTGAGATTTTGCATATGGCAGAAAGACGGCTTGAGGTTTGGTGCGGGGTTTCAGGTACTTCTCAGGGTTTCGGGAGCTCGCTGATTGGCCACGTCTTGCCTCCATCTTCGACTGTCGATGGATGAAGCAAGATTTCTGAAAAAATGACCTCCGTGACGACGTAGCGCAGATGTGCTCGAAAATATGGCGCTATTCCAGTGCTTTCGGAATGACAGGTTACATGACTCAGCAAGGGTCAGGATATTCCCCATCATCAGCACCACAGTCATTGTTTGTTGGAGTCGCCATCATTGTCCTCAATTCAGCATCACTGTCGGCACTATCGACGTCACCGGTGTCACAAGCACCATCACTGTCATTGTTCATCATCGCATAATTCTCGAGTGCATAGCTGCATAACCAAAACCAGCAGAAGCACCACCATCTTCGCGTTGACCAGATGGCACCGCCTCCGAGCGGAGAACATCGCTTGTCATTCCTTTTGTACTTGCCTGCAGTTCTCACCATAGTCGTGGTGACACCATCGCTGCTGTTCCCCGAAACCTAAGACCAATAACCAAGATCGTGCGAGCTCTTCGAGCCCCTCCCTCCTTGCCGGTGACCACTTGCTCAGGGAAGGCTGGCCAGGAAGAGATGCTGGAACCTCAGAAAATGAATGAAAATGAATACGAGTGTGACTCTGAGAACAGCATCGGGATTCGATTCCGGGTTGCCGATACCTTCCTGATACGTGTGAGAACTATGGCCGGGTTTAGTAAGTTGACTTCGCGGGTGCATCGAGTCCAAGATTCAGGCATAGTGTTACTGGCATGAGTTCGGCGGTTTCAGAAAGCTTGCCCATTGAGGGCAACCGTCCTGAGCACATGGAACCGGCCGGGCGACCAGGTGAAAGGGTATTGTTGGCTTGAAGTCTTCTCTGTTGTGGTGGGAGCTTTCAGGCCGATTTTGCCATCCGACAGCCACACCCCACGACACATGAAATGAGAAATTCGCTCGAAGACGAGCAAAGCACACACACGGTTGGCAGGCTCATTCGTTGTTGCTCGCATGGAAATATTCGTTGCTTGAGCTCGCCTCCTTTGCAACCTTGCGGTGCAGTGCTTTGGTTCAAAGCCAATGAAGCGTCCCAGTTCCTTGCGGTCGGAGGACGGCATCAATAATCGTTTTTTTTGAAGGTTGGGGTGAAGGGAGGCGGTTTCCAACCTTGCATCAGGCTTCCAGGTTTGCTGCTGACTGAACTCACGGAGGTTAAGCTTGAGAAGTATGGACATGATTTACTTTTGTTTGCATTTTGGTCATGGTTTGTTCAGACTTCGTTTTTCTTGCGTACCGACTGGCTGGGCTCATGCTCATGGGTGCCCCTTTGGAGGGGCGACGAGGCGGGCTTTGCTATCATGCGCAAGTTTTGTGAACATGGGCATGACAGCATGCTGTTGGCAGGTGCGGGCCATGACCCAGCATCTTACAAGTGGATGAGGCAGGTTGTGCAGCTGCAACTTGCTGGTTGAGCATCCTTCCGTTGCCACCTTGCTGCACAGTGCTTTGGTTCAAAGTTGGGAAGCATCCATTTGTTTCACCATGGCGATGCCAGCACAAGTCACCAAGCGTGACGCTTCGCCAAGCTCAGAGGACCTCGTCACGCAGTCTTTTCGTCCTTTAGTTGCTTGAAGCCTTTTTCTTTGTGTTTGGCCAGGACCCACCGGCGAAGAAAGCCAAGGCGAGGCTATGGTTGATTGTGATTAAAGGGGCTTGCAGGCTGACGCAGCAGATGTTGCTAAGTCAAGGAAGGACGATGCAGAGGTGCTTTTGAGGGGGGGGGTTGCTTTCGGTGCCAGCTTTGTAGCAAAATCACGAGCTCAAACCTCCTGCGCGGGCTGCAGGAGCTTGACCACGCTGAAAGATTACGAGACCTGACAACGCAGGGGTGGGAAACCGCTCAGCAGCTGCTTGCGATGGCCGTGGCTGACTTGCAGACGGCCAGGGAAGAGAAAAATCGGGAGAAGGTCGAGGCGGCCAAGAAGGAGGTTCAGGCGGCCGAGAAGAAGGTCGACGCGAGTCCAGCCCAGGCCAGGTCAGCTTGCACTTGAGGGTGACGGAGCTCTCCAGGCTAGTTGTGTTTGGGGCATGAGGGTCGACTCTCGAGATTTGGTGTGAACAAAATAAAGGGATTGGAGGGGCAGAGGTGACTGCAACATGCTCGTGCCTGTGCCTTGTCTGTTTGAAGGACTGGTGTCAGAAACTGCTCGACCAAGAGTTGGAATTTGGCACTGGCGACGCACTGCTGAGCACCATCGGTGCGAAGTGGGACTACTGTGGCAGAGAAGACCTTGTCAATGACTTGCAAGTGCCTTTCGCGCGTCTTTGTGAGCACAAAGGTGTGGATGAAGACAAGCAGAACCACCCGCTGCTAATAGCATTTGCCAGCCCAGGACAGGGCAAATCGCGCCTCCTCTCAGAGCTCCCCGCCATGATCGAGGAGTGTCGCAAGAAGCTCAACACCGAACAGGTGCGGCAGTACAAGAAGACCCTGGCCTTCTTGATCACCTGTGAGAACGGCACCTCACCTGGAAACTGGACAACGGAGGAGCTGAATGCTGGACGCTTCTTTGCCTGCCGCATGCTGTGGCAGCTGTGGTCGGCCAACCAGGCGGCATTCAAAGCAGCCGGAGCTCCGGAGGACTTTGCTGCATTCCGTGCTCAGTGCCTCCAAAATCTGGTGCCAGACGATGTGTTGAAAGCCGTGCTACCAGACACAATGGAAACCACTATCGTCGTTCTGGGAGTGGACGGCATGCAGGGCCTCGAAGGCTTCGACCCACGTGCAGGGGAGGCAGGTAAGGCGAAACCGTTCTATGAGGTCATGCGAGAAGTGTGCCGGCTCGTCAACCAAAAGGCCTCTCCGCTGGTGGTAGGATGCGTGTCTGCCACTCAAAGTCTGGATCACGGCCTGGCATTGTGAGCCCAGCTGCGCCACCGTCTAACCCTCCCTCGTGTGAGCCGGGTGGAGGAACACGGCGAGGACATAGTTCCGCCTCATCGCCTCAAGAATTTGCTGGTGCAAGACATGGGAGGCCACGGCCGAGCTTTAGAGGCTCTTGTGCAGGTGCTGCGGGAACTTAAAGATGAAAGCGAGGCGGCTGCTGTGATTGGGGCAGTCATGCTTCAACTGTCACAGAAGTACCCCTGCGCTGGCTCGCAAACCTTCGACGATGACTCTATCAAAGCAGTTCTTCGGACGGCACTGTCAGGCAAATGGGTTCGGCGCGGTGACAAGCTTGTGAACATCAATGCTCAGAAGGCAGACTTGATTCGTTTGCGGTACAATGATGCCTGCACTCGCTACCGCATTGAAGTTCCGTACATATGGCTGCACATGATGCTCAACACTGTGCCAGCAAATTCTAAAGATCTGGCCCCATGGCGCCTGATGGACTACAGCCAGTTTTTGAGTGATCCACCGCAAGATGGCACAGAATGGGAGGAGTTCAACGCAGCCTTCAGAGTGTTGTGGTCTTGGGCTTTCGAAGAAATGCAAGAAGTGCCAGAAGGCTCCTTGCACAGCGGGGCAATCATAAAGCCAGATACCTTAAAGGATAAGATGGTCATCAATCGGCATCTGAAGCGCTTCAAGGCAAAACATCGAAAAGCAACAGCTTCAAAGGACTGCGGCAACCCAAAGGCCCGCAAAGACCCAGCAGCGGCAAAGCCCCCAAGCCGTCCCGAAAAGCATGAGTGCGAAGTCGATGGCGAGGAGACCACGGTCAATTTGACTCGGACTGATGTTCTTGTTCTGAATGCGAAGGGTGCGAATGCTGCAGATGCGGTCCTTCGCTTGCGCACCCAGACTGGCGATCTGATCGCAGAGTGCTTGCAGATGAAGCATGGGCAGTCCGCGTGTCACCTAGAAGATGAGCGTCAGAAAGCCTGTGATGATGATGACATCTTCGTCGTGCTGCGAAACAGCAACGCTGAAGCTCCAGCTGGCGAGAACTTGATATTTGTGTCCGAGGGTCAGTTCGCAGATTACTTCGGAGTTTACAGCGGCAGAGCATTCAGCAGTGCGGCTAGAAGCGTGCCTTGTCGGATCCAGCAGTAGTTCCAGTTCATGGTGCAAGTGAAAAAGGACTGCCCTGGCATTTGCTAGTCAGTGTCGATTTTCCAGCCTTTGCTGTGCTCATGCCTCTCTCCACCACCATGCTGCTGTCATGACGTTGTGCAACTAGAGCTTTGACCACTGGCTTGCTGATGTTGTTAGTTGTTCGTTGAAACGTTGGGACATGTGGTGCATTGATGTGCCCTTGCAGGTGTGTTGTTGCTCACACGGGTATGCTTTGGCAGTTCTTTT